GAGTGCTGGCCGTCAGCGCGACAGAGCATGGCCGCCGTTGGCGGCGCTTCGTAGCCAAACGACGAGTTGAAGGCGTCGCGCTGCCACAGGGAGCACGCACGGGGTTCTCTCAACGTACTCAGAGAGTAGGAGAGAGGGGAGGGCAACGCACCAGTCGGCGCGGGCAGCCGTGATTGGCGAGGGAGAGAGTGGCCGTGCCCAGCGACACCGTCCGTGCACACTGCTCGCGCGGCCAGCCGAAGCGCTCGCTCTGGGCACAGCCGGCGGTGGCGGCGATGGTCATATCTTGCCGCGGGTCCGCGAATAGATACCGCGAGCCGAGTGGGCCGCGAGAGCGCCCGCCGAGTCGAACGCCGAGTCGAACACACACACGCGCGCGAAGCCGAACGATCGCGACGATGGCGGCCGCGGATGACAGCGCGATCCTGGAGGCGCGCGAGGCCAGCATAGAGACGCTCGTCTCGATGCCGGCGGCTGCGGATGACAGCGCAGTTCTGCTCTCGGACGAGACGTGGCAAAAGCTGGTCGCTACATTTGATGCGAACGGCGACGGTGCTCTCGACCTATCAGAATTTTCCGCTCTCGTCGACGCGCTAATTGAAGACGCGCCCTCCAGTACGGTGACGGCCGAAGAAATTGCTGGCAACCCAGCGTTTGGACCTCAGAGAGCTACAGTCACCGCCTCCGAGCTCAGAGCGGCGGCAGTGAAGGGTGTCTTCGGCGATCTCAGTCACGTACTCCCACTAATTTTGCGCCGCATCCTCGTTGCACAGCCGACGCCACGGCCTCAACAGCCGCCTCAACAGTGCCCGCAACGTGCAGTGCGGTTGCCCTATGGCTGTGCCCACCACAATATCAAGAGCGACTTGTACCACAATCGCCCGGTGAGGATCTCCATCCCCCCGCCGACCCACGTCTCTCAAGCGGCTCGCTTCGAGGTCATTGTGGACGCGGGCGGCATCAGCAACGTGGGCCGTAATCTTCACATCGAGCTGCTGGCGCAATCGGGCCGGCCATTTCGCATCGCTACAATGGTGGCGGGGAACTCTGGCCGTCCGGGCGGAGCATGCGGCTTCGAGGACGGCACCGTGCGTGCGCTGCATCCCAACCACTCGACGCAGGAGGAGGACGTGATCTCCAACTGGCTCGCCACCACGTGCCATGCCGACGGCCAACCACTCACCGATGCAGTCGCGGATGGCGCACACCCGCTGGCCAATATGCTCTACCAGCAGACCATCGCCGGCCAGTGGGGGATGAGCAACCCCGCCGGAACTGACAAGTTCACGATTCAGCATGTGGATTACACTCGGGCGCGCAGCGCCTCCTTCTATGGTGACGCGTGGGTCGTCGAGGACGCTCTCCTCAGCAGCAAGCGCGTCGCTCCGCCCGCGCAGAAGAGCTATGCCGTGACGGAGGCGTTTCCCACGTCCCTCGTATTCGTCGCCGGTCCGAATTGCGGTGCGTGGGGACGGAGCGACAGGAGCACCACCCGGCGTACTTACAACAGATTCGCCGCGGAAGACTACCCCCTTTTCCGGGCGGGCGTCGAGGCCGCACTGCACGCTGGCCTCGTCGCGATGGCGCGCCTCGGCTGCGACGTCGCGCTGCTCGCCCACGTCTCGGCTGGCATCTACGCCGGCGAGCACAAGCAGGCGCTGCTCGCCGACTACGAGTCCCTCGTCAACGACCTGCTCGACACGCCATGCAGCGCGCCGAGCGGGCCCGTCCCCCTCGGACGATACTTTCAGCGCGTCGTCCTTGCCACATTGAGAGCTAAATAAATACGTAGAAATAGAGCAGACACACATGTCTCCCCGCGGAGAGTCAGAGTCATGTCTCGTATCGCCCCGGATGCTTGGTGCGTACCCTGCGTACCGTGGGCGACACGCACCCACGAGGAAAACACAACACACCGCATGAACCATGATATAAGCGCCACACACACACACAGAGAGAGAGAGAGAGAGAGCACTACTAGGCACTATGCGACACCTCAGGATTTCTGGGGGTCGTAAGAAGACACGGGGATGGCCATGCACCAGCGCAGCGCTTACTATTTCTTTCGTTGTCTCGTCAAGAAGTGCCGCTGCGGGGCGCCGTGCGCGCATGGGCGCCGTCGTGAGGACAACCCGCAAGCAGCACACCCTCCCCGGAGCTCCGCCGTCACCGGTCGGCGGCTTCAAGCATCAGGACGGCGGGCGGGGCTTCATCTCTACGTACAGCCGTACTATGAGCTATCTGTTGTCGGCGAAGAGACAGGTCGTGCAGCACGCGCTCGCAGTGCACGCTGGTCCGGCGCAGTCAAAGAACGGGCTGGTGCTGACAGCCATGCCGTCGTCTGGGTTGAGGACGATCCGCTGGTTCTCTGGAGTGAGGCTATTCTCGCAGTGGTCGGACGCCGCTTGGTTCACATTCACGCCATTGAGAGGAAGGCCGCCCATCCAAAGGTCGACCCAGTCCTCGTGAGACTCGATGCACCCCGAGCAGCGGTCCATCATGACAAAGTACTTGCGGAAGAACGGGATGTAGACGCGCGTGCCAGGCGTGATGAAGTTCGGGTTAGTGGCCAGTGTAATTGGGTCGGAGTACGTGCCATTGCCGCCGGCAGTGCCACCAGCCAGGCTGCCCGTGCGGCTGTACTTCGTGTTTGCGTTGCCGCAGCCTCGCGACCAGCCACTGTCGCAGTTGTCGTCCCAAGCGTAGAAAGTGATTTTCACATCGCTCACGCTTCTGGGCGTGGCGCTGGGACTGACGCCGCCCCCACCGCACCCTGCGCAAGAGTATGAGATCTGTTCTCCAACTTGGAGGTTGGTGCAGGTGCTTTCACTCTGGCCGCAAATCACGCTCTGCCAGCGGTTGCCGTCGCTGCATTGGCTTTGCGCGATGGAGTAGCAGCTGTCGCCGACGGTGACGGTGTAGGTGTGATGTGTGGCAACAGAGCTGACCGCTTGTGCGCTCCTGCCCGACGCTTCGAGCTCAAGCCGCCGGCGCCTGCCCCTGTTGCTAACGCAGGAAGAGAGCAGGGAGCGCTCCTCCGCCGTGACAGCCGTAGAGTGGTGCTCAAGTTCCCGCTGCGAGTGCTCTTGCAGGCTCCCGTCGCCAAGGTGGTGCGCACGAAAGGTGCGATGGAGGTCTTGGGCAAAAGTGTGGCTGTCGTGCAGCCCGGCGCACCTGTGCGCCTCGGCAAAGGCCAGGGCCTCAGAGTACGTCACCACTACGTCGCGGACGCTGGCAAAGCCTAGGACAGCGGCCGCGGCGCCGAACATATACAAACGGCGTTCCCACCCGCGACGGCCTTTCCGGCGACGGGCGCTTTCCGGTTTCAAATCCCCCTGAAAAATTAAATATGCAACAGAAGCCTCCAGAAAGAAAGGAAACGATCCTTCTCCCACCCCTTGTTTGGTGTGTCCGTTTTATTTATTTATAGAAAACAGACAACCCAAGGGAGGGATGGGAGGACGGAACGCCGCCACCACACAGGGATTTTAGGGGAGAAGAGTGGTGCTAGCCGTCACAGCAGACGCCGCGCCGCACCGCGCGCCCAGCTGCGCTTCGCATGTTTCTTTTGTACGGTGTGTGTGCCGCCCTAGAAGCGCAGCGTTCGGAGTCCGCTGCCCGTACGGGCCGTAAAAATGGCCGACACGCCCAATGTCACCGTGCTCCGCGAGACGAAGCTCACCCGCGCGCTCCACACGGCCATCCGCGATAAGGCAGCGTCGCGCCACCAGTTTGTCACCGCGTCAAACCGCCTCACGCGCCTTCTCATTGAGGAGGCGCTTGCGCTGCTGCCGTCGGAGGAGGTGACGGTCGAGACGCCATGTGGCCCATACGCGGGCTGCAGGCTTCCCGACGAGGAGCGCATCTGCGCGGTCTCGATCCTCCGCGCCGCCGACTGCATGCTCGGCGAGGTACGCGCGATGATGCCCTCGGTCGCGGTGGGAAAGATCCTGATCCAGCGCGACGAGGAGACGGCTCTGCCGCAGCTGCTGTACTCGAAGCTGCCGCCCGATATCGCGGCGCGGCCCGTGCTGCTGCTCGACCCGATGCTCGCGACGGGCGGCTCCGCCGTCGCCGCGTGCAGGCTGCTCGCCGAGGCGGGCGTGCCACCGGAGAGCATAATCTTTGTCAACGTCCTCTGCGTCAAGGAGGGACTGCAGGCGATGGCGAGCGCCTTCCCGGCGGTGCGGGTGGTCACCGGCGCCATCGACCCCGTCCTCAACGGGTCAAAGTACATCGTCCCCGGGCTGGGCGACTTTGGCGACAGATACTTTGGCACCTGATGAGAGAGAGGCGGGGAGGGCGCTATGGATGGAGGTGATATAGACAGATAGGGGACGACGAAGAATCGCGGCATGGTGAACGCCGACACCAGGAGAGACGCACCTTTCCTAGCTTTGTTGGTACCTGTGGTAGTGCCAGTGCGCGCCAATCCTTACCTTTGTTTTCGAGTCTCTGGCCACTGCGCACTCTCGTTTATGTATGTACGGTATGTAGGAAGGTGAAGAACAGCCAGGCTCGGACTGGACACCAACGCGGTATGGGTGGACGCCGGACAGATGATGTGTCGAAAGAAAGAAAGAAAACGGAGGACCCAAGGGAGGGATGGGAGGACGGCACGCCGCCACCACACAGGGATTTTAAGGAGAGGGGTGTGATGTTTTAAGATGGAGAATATGAAATTCTTTTCGCGGCGAGGCCTCTCGCTCGCTTGACTAACGGTCGCCTTCGGACTCGGACTGCTGTCTCCGCCAGCCGCCAAGCCTCCCGCATCCTCCTCGGCCGAAAATGGCGACGCAGGGCTCTGATGCGCGCTACGCGCACCTGCTCGAGCCCATCCGGGACCTCGCGCAGAACTGGTCGATCGACATCGCGAGCGAGCTCGAGGAGTACCTTGGCGAGCTCGAGTCGATCACAATCTCGTTCGACGACGGGACGACGCTGAACTTTGCAGAGGCGGCGCTGCTGATCCAGGGCTCGACCTGCATCTACTCGAAGAAGGTGGAGCACCTCTACACCCTCGTCTACCAAGTGCTTAACCAGGTCGTCGAGCAGAAGCGGGTCGCAAGGCAGGCCGCCTCGATTGCAGAGGACGGGACCGACCGCGACGTCGTCGAGATGGCGGCGGAGGACGCGTGGCTGACGCTCGACGACACGCTCCAGGAGGTGGCCAACATCTCGCTCGCGCCGACGCGCGGCGCGCCCGACACGTCCGCCTTCACCCTCTCGCGCACGCCATTCTTGGGGGGAGGCCCCTCCTCCTCCGGCGCGGGCGGCGAGAGCGAGTACAAGATGCACTCGTGTGTGGTGCACGCGTCGGGCGCGCTGCTGCTGCCCAACGTCTACCTCCCGCCCCACGTCCTCGCCGCCCTCTCCCCCGCCGACCGAGCGGGCTTCACCCCAAACGCGCGCTCGGCGGCCGGCGCGGCGGCGGCGTTCGGCGGCGGCAGCGAGGAGGGCGGCGACGACGGGACGGTCGCGATGCGCGACGAGGACGACGACGACACCTGGCAGCCCGCGGACGACGGCGGCGGCGGGTGGGAGGAGCCCGCGGAAGGCTGGGCGGGCGGCGACGCGACGGAGGCGACTCTGCTGCTCGAGGCGCGAGGGCAGCCCCCCCCCTCCTGCTCCTCGTCGCCCCGTCGTACTATGGGGATACCCCCACCCGCTCCGCTCGTGTGCTCACGGACCTGGGACGCTCGCTCCGCTCCACTGCGGCGACCGGAACTGCCCCTCCTCCCCCGGGCCCTAAAACCCCCTGGCAAGAAGCCCTCGCCAGACACCTTATTCACGGCTAATTCCGGAGGGCCCCGGGGG